GTGAGGAGTGGAGTCCTTCAGGGGTCCGTACTGGGACCGGTGCTGTTCAATGTATTTATCAATGACATGGACAGCAACATGGAGTGTACCCTTAGCAAGTTTGCAGATGACACCGAGCTGAGTGGTACGGTTGAGACACCAGAAGGACGGGATGCCATCCAGAGGGACCTGGACAAGCTGGAGAGGTGGGCCTGTGTGAACCTCATGAGGTTCAACAAGGCCAAGTGCAAGGTACATCTGTGTGATGTTTTGAAGTTTTGCTCCAAAGCAGAGCAGTAAGTGGTACTTTCTAAAATGAAAGCAGAGTGTTTAGAAAGCAAAGAAGTGGTACATCCATGTCTCCACAACTAGTCCTTCATATACCACACCTTGCTGAAGATGCGTTAAATGCCAAAAATGCAAAAGTAAATTAATCTAGTCAATGAGATTAATATTAATGCCTTAGTTATTTAAAGGTATTAGAGTTAAGCAAATGCAACTCTGTGTTAGTAATAAAGAAGAATAAATTTGCAAAATTCTTTGTATTTTCCCTTAACTGTTTTTTATTTAAATTTTTTACATTTCTGAAAGGTTCGGAAAAAATTTTGCACTTACATTCTTCAGCAATATCTTCTGTTTCTCTAGAAAGTACCGTAATTCAACTCATGCATGAGGGTTCAGACTTCTGCACATTGCCATATCTAAAACGGCTTGTCAGGTTTTCCATGGGACCTGTAGAGCTAATAGAGGGTTCTAGAGTCTCCAAGACAGGCCATAACCACTCATTTACTCGAGGACTCTATGACTACAGCTTCCATATTTTGCTTAAAGCAGACATGGTGGCTAATGATTGTGGCAAAATTCCTTGTTTGCACGGTCACCTCAAGTTGTCACATGCAACTGCTGTGTCAAAGTCCAGGGACAACCACAACTTTTGCTTTCCTAATACTGCTTCCAGACTTCCAATTTGTTCTTTCAGTAGCCTTGTTTCAAGCCAACATCTGCAGTGAAGGACAATACAAGAGGACAGAGCAGTTTGTGTGGTGGTGTTGGGTTGACTGTTGGACTTGATGATCTTAAAGGTCTTTTCCAACGTTAATGATTCTATGATTCTGTGTGGAAGCAAGAAAACACAGGCAGATGATTCCTCTACCACGATATTCAGGCTCTCCTGATGGGTGGCCACCAAGTGTTTCAGTCCCCAGTAAAGCCAGAGGTGCTTGCAGTAGTCTCTGTCGTAGCTACTCCCAGAACAATGGCTGGGCTTTTGAGAAGCTCAGCCTTATCCTGACCAGTGGTCAAGGACCATCTGTAGCCAGGAGCTTATATCTCTTTCACAGTCATTTCACTCAGACATGAATAGATTTCTTAAATCTCTGTGTCCCACTGTGGAAATCCATAATAGCCAATTTCTACTGACCACTGCATATGTGAAATGTCGGCATTTGTAAAGCTGTGATGTTCATTACCCCTCGGACTTTCTTCTGGAAATGTAGCATTTAAATAACAGCTTGGACTTTTCAGCTATGTCCTGGTACTATGCTGTATGTCTTCAGAGATTTGTAAATATTAGGGCGACTGTTGTTGTCAAAGAGGCTTGTTGTAAGCGTTAGCAAGTGTCACTCATTTTTAGAAGGTAAGTTTTAAAAGCTTTGTTCATATGTGATGAACTGCCATGAAAGTGGGTTTTGAGATTTATTTGTACCTGTGACCCAGGACCCCTTTTCTGCCAACACGGCCAGCTAAAGGTCCAAGTCCACATTGCATAGCTCGATGGAATTTGCACATTTGTGCCTTTCTGTCAATGGGTGACCCTATCTTTTGGCCTTGCACTCAGTAAGACACAATTACACTGCAAAGATAAAAAAAAGTGTCTTAGTGAATTTACATCGCTTAAAATCTAGTACCAGGCTATTAATTCTTAAGTTCTTAAAGGGTTTGCAGAAATACTTGGCTTCCTGTGGTCCTGTCTTCACATTACATCTGCCTTTGCCAAGGCCGAAACTACCCTATTCACATTTTTTATTATATTTATCAAAATTTTTGGCTGAACAGCAGTTTACAGCAAAGTATCTGTTTGCCTCTAAATTTTTGGTATGTCGTGGAGCACTGGAGAGGCAGAATAAAAACAATCAGCTTTACATCTAGCTGCTATGCCAGAGTGTTTTGCTTTGCCAATACAATACGTAGATTATCTTATGAATAATCGGGTGGAAAAGAAAGCCATGCTGCATGCATGTCTTTGTTCAGTCTGTCTGAATAGCTGCTCAGCTAAATAGCTCTAAACATATGAAAACACTGGGAAGCTTAATTTTAATAGATGTTTGAAATAATTTACAATCCCTTCACAGCTCTTCAGGTTGAATTTATGTACTGGTGTACTAATCCTGCCCGAAGGCTCAGCAGAATATATTATAATCTGTATTGACAAAGCTGTTAGCAAACTCATTCTTGATTCAATTTCATTGGCTTCAGTGGATTTGCATTTGGAATGGTCTGTTCTAAAGAAAACCGGCTCCTTGTCTTATATGGTTTCCTACTAGCTTCTTTCGTTTGACTTCAATTCAGTTCTCTGTATGTGTTCGTTGTCTGTTCTAGCTCTCCCTGCCAGAATGGAGGAACGTGCATTGATGACAATGGTTTTGCACCACATGCTTCCTGTCTGTGCCCTTCTGGTTTTGCTGGCAACTTCTGTGAAATAGATAGAGATGACTGTGAATCCAACCCATGTGAAAATGGAGGAACATGTACAGATATTGGTGTGGGTTTCAGCTGTTTTTGTCCCCATGGCTATACAGGAAAGCTCTGCAGCAGCCGTGTCATATTCTGTGCAAGTGGCCCTTGTGAGAATGGAGGGACATGCAGTGAACATCACCAAGGAGGATTCGAATGCATCTGTAAACCAGAATTCGTTGGTGTGACCTGCAAACATCCCAGCAAAAACACAAGTCTTTCTGGAGTGAATATGGAGACAAAGCATATGCAGAATTACAAGCCAGCCTCAAAAGCCCATCACAGATCAGTGCATCAACAAGAAATCCTGAAAATAACAATGAAAGAAACAATCCAAAATGTAGATCCCTTGCTCAGTAGAAGCCAGGTGATATGTTTTGTTGTACTGGGCTTGCTTACCTGTCTTGTTGTCTTGGGTACAACCGGGATTGTGTTTTTTTCAAAATGTGAAATGTGGCTTGCTAATGCCAAATATAGTCGTCTCCTGCGCAAGAAAAAGAACTTTTTTCTGAAATCTAACAATGAGGAAGACCTCTCAGTTAATATTATCTTCCCAGAGAAGATCAAATTGACTAATTACACTAAGAACTACACTGCCATCTAGGCCCTTGAAAACCAAGCAGCAACTTGCAACTTTTCATAGCAATGTGTAAAATAGATTGAATTTATTGCCTGTGATTGGCCTCAATATTTGTGGGTACATTTGCTGTAGCTTGTGCTGAGTGATATGAAGAAATATGATGTATCTGTATTGCTAAGGATTTTTTCATTTCCCAGAATGAGAGGTTAAAAAAAACCAGAAGGACTAAAGACCTGGGAATGTTAATCTGATTTCTTTTCAAGGCAGCTATTTTTTGTAAAATAAAAAGTAATTTACCACTGGAACTATATTGCAGCTTTCTTGTCTTGCGCATAGTTTATTTGGCAAATGCGGTACCAGTAAATTACTCAATAATGCTTTTTTTGAATAAACAGCAGTTAAGGTCTATACTGATTTATTTATTCATTTGTAAATGTTATGCTATAGCAAGATCTGCAACAAGTGTCCCTGCTTAATTCTTCTGCTATGTGTGAGAAAGACTTTAGCGACTGCAATCAACAGGAGCAAATTCACACAGATGTCTCACCTATCCTGTTAGTTCTGCTATTTTTACATGTTTATAAGATAGATTACTCCTCCTATAGAATCATAGGTCTTTGTGGTATTAGTTTCAGGTTAAAGGTCTCTGTTGCTTGTGATGCTGCCTCCATAAATGGTTCTATTTGTCTGTCCTAAAATGTTGAGAAGATGTTCAATGTCTTTGGTCATACTTTCTGTTTAGAGACCTGGTAGAGATGTAAAGGATCTGATTTTGACTTTTCTGTGAATATTCCTCAAAGAACTCTGCTGAGAGACATATCCTTCATGCCTGTATCATGGGGATGAATCAAAAGATAACGTGCCACCTGAAAGAGGACGGCTGCTTTTAATTCTTCATTTCTGCTTTTTCTCTGTTATACTTCAAGATGAGGACAATATTTTCAAGAATCTAAAGCAGCACTGGAAAACAGGTAAAGGCTCATGAAAACCACAAAATTGTTAGGGGCTTCAGGGCACTAATAGGTCTTGACATCCCTGAGGAGCTGCTCCTGGGGACCTCATCTTCTTCCCGCCCGCAGGCCTATTTCAGGTCAGCCCAGGGCTACTGGTCCTGGTCTGAGCTATGCTGTAGGAGTACTGGCCTCCACTTCTGCCTGCTGGATGGAGCTCAGGCCTGTACTGTAGGTAGCCCATCTGCTAGGGATGGACCCTTTGGACCTGTGCTCTAGCCTTGTCTCTAGCCCTGTCTCCTTTTGTCCTCCTCATCAATGAAGCCCATGGATGGACCCTCCATCCAGTGACTTGTTTCATTACTTGCTGTGTCTGGGACTGTTGGTGGACCCCGTTATCAGCACCAGCTCTGGCGATCTGTTCAACTTCTGTGAGACTGTGCTGTTTGTGAGGGCATGTCCCACTCTGGGCCATGACCCTCCTGGGTCTCCCGGCTTTTCTTCCTTACTGGACAGCCGGACCCTGGCTGCTCCCTTTAAAAAACGAAAACCAAAACCAAACAAATAAAAACAAACAATAAAAAAACTCAACAAAACCAAATGACTTTGCACTGCAGTGCCTAAAGGTGTCTTTGGCTGCTGTTAAGTGACAATTTGCTTCCCCAGCCATCCCAGACAAGAACATTTAGAAGCTGCTTCTAAGCTGTCTGATAACTATGCTATTCCTAAATCCATTAACAGCTGCTCAAATTTAAAAAAAAAAAAAAAACCAGTAACAAGTGCTCAAAATTAAAAAAAAAAAAAAAAGCCTTAAAGCACACACAGGTCATTACCCTAGGATTTTTTCTGTTGACCTCCCTTTTAATTGCTATGAGTATATACCAGGTTTGCTGTATTGCTGATAATATTTGCAAGTATCATAGCATTATAATGCATCCCAGAGTCCTGAGGGAACTGACTGATGTAGTTGCCAAGCCACTCTCCATGATATTTGAAAAGTCATGGCAGTCAGGGGAAGTTCCCAGTGACTGGAAAAAGGGAAACATTGTGCCCCTTTTCAAAAAGGGTAGAAAGGAAGACCCTGGGAACTACCGACCTGTCAGCCTCACCTCTGTGCCTGGGAAGATCATGGAACAGATCCTCCTAGAAGATATGCTAAGGCACATGGAGGCCAGGGAGGTGATTCGAGACAGCCAGCATGGCTTCACCAAGGGCAAGTCCTGCCTCACCAACCTAGTGGCTTTCTATGATGGTGTAACAACAAGAGTGGACAAGGGAAAACCAATGGACGTCATCTATCTGGATTTTTGTAAAGCCTTTCACACGGTCCCCCACAACATCCTTCTCTATAAATTGGAGAGCCATGGATTTGATGGGTGGACCGTTCAGTGGATAAGGAATTGGTTGGATGGTCGCAGCCAAAGAGTAGCAGTCAACGGCTCAATGTCCAGATGGAGACCAGTGACGAGTGGAGTCCCTCAGGGGTCCGTACTGGGACCGGTGCTGTTCAAT